TTTCCCTTTGAATATTTCTTAAATTTTATAAATACCTTTGAGTATTTCGAAAGTCCCATCAAAACGGTAACAATATAACCAATGATTCGGTCTACAATCATTCTTAACTCATTTTGCGGAATCCAGGGATTTTCTTCTAAGCCTTGGTGAACAACAGAGGTGGCATTTATATGACGCTCTTCGGCGTTGATCAAAAAATTGTGAATTTTGGTTTGTAAATCAGCAGACATATTGATTAGTCAAGTTCAAAGAAATAAAAGCTTTGTTATATCGCAAGTTAAAATGACGAATAACCACAACACAAATATACTGTCCTTTTAAAATGTTTTCATCCACCCATTTCTGTCTCATTTAGGTCTGGGAGCAGTAGATTTAGGGAATGTGGAACTGGAGCGATGCAATGCACAGCGAAAAAACTTTTTACAAAGAAAATGCGTATGCCACGAGTTAGTAACAATCAGCAGGTCACACGATTACATCATGCATGAAAAGTTTCATGATCTTCTAATTTATTCTTTGGTATTCATGTGATGTGTTGATCAAACATCTGTATTATGCAATCAATTTTATTGTGTGATATATGTTGATCGAACATCTGTATAACGCAATCGATTTTTCAGGTATGTGATCGCGGAAAAATGATTTATGCATTGTAGACCTAGTTAAAAATTTGTACAAATTGAGTGTGGATTTTTTCCCATTCTTCCATAAGATTATCGAGCCATGCAATACTTAAACCACTCTTTGCTATACTGCGACGTAATAACTCTTCACCAACCAGCCTATTCCGATCTGTTAAAAATTTATGATATTTTCTGGTATCTTCATTCCTTTTTATTCCTCCGTAATAAAGGCATATATCTCTTTCCAAGTCAGCAGGAAAACACTCCATGTCCCATTGATTTTTCTCAGCTTCAGTAATGACCGAAAATTTCTCAGAATCCATTCCATATTCGATGACATATTGATAAAGACGGATTTTGTTTGGATGAATTGGTGAGTTACTGATTTTGTTTGATACCCTTACTTGAGTTTCCGGCAAACTCTGTATGGCA